GGTGTTTAGGGATTTAGGGTTTAGGGATTTAGGGTTGAGGGATTTAGGGTTGAGGGATTTAGGGTTGGGGGATTTAGGGTTGAGGGATTTAGGTTTTAGGTTTTAGGGTTTAGGGTTTTAGGGTTGAGGGATTTAGGGATTTAAGGTTTAGGGGCTTAGGGTTTAGGGTTGAGGGCTTTCGGAATTTGGGCTTCAGGATTGTGTTTGAGGGTTGCGGAGTGTTTTGGGTTCACGATTTCGGTTCAAGGCTCCGCGATTGGAGACGCCAACCAATCCCAAGTACCTTTAATTAGGCCATAACCGAAATTCCGACTAGTGGGCACATAGGATTGCTCTGGGGATTGCTAGGCTCTTCGGGCAGGGTCCTTGGAACCTTAGCGCCTGCAGGGTCTAGACTGCACCTTAAGGACGACATGAACCCTAAACGGGTTTAGGGTTCATAAACCATTTTCGGGATTCGGGGCCCTACTTTTAAGGGGCATTTCGTCCTTAAGGTAGGGCTTTTGGGGCTCATAGGGTTCAGGGTTTAGGGCTCCAGGGTGAAGGCTTTAGGCGGTTTTAAGGTTTACCAACATCCCCCAACTATCCCTTGCTAGACCCTAAAGTGTCCAGAATCAAGAAGCATGAGTTCTCTCAGGCCGCAACAGCCTTGAACCCAAACACTCTGCTCTCTTGAAATCACGACCCTGCAGCTTTGTAGCGTTCAACATCTTGCTCTGGAAGCCTGTTCATCAGCGACATAGTGCGCACTGAGGGCCATCGAAGTGAACAGCAGTGCCAGCACCATTTTTGGTGTAGCAGGCTTTCCCTGGAATCCAAAAGTATGCAGTGCCTGCAGCTTCATGGACAGTAGTGATGAATTGGTGTGCCGGGGCGAAGATTCCAAAATCATACGGCACCCTTGTAAACAAGACCTGCAAAAGGGACCCTAATGCAGAGAACCCCCGCATGTACTGACCCCAACCCCTATACCCTGAACACTAAACAAGAACTGACAAGAACCCTAAACGGAACCCCAATGTACCCAGAGACTCCAAAACCCCTTAATTAAGGAATATACCTTAAATTACAATAGGATCCCTAATATGATTTAAGGTATATTCCTTAATGAAGGGTTCTTGGAGTCTCTGCATGTATTGACCGGCCTTCTGTAGCTGCTCTTCAAGGCCTGAGGCATGTCAGCTCTAAAGGTCTAACTGCCCAACACACCCTAAAGTTCCATGTGCCTATATAGCATATACTTAGGACGTAATGGGGTTTCTATATACGTACTCTAAGGCCTACGTACGTACTATATAGGCATATGGAGCCTTATGGATAATAGGTTTTTCAGAAGGAACCGAATCTAGGAGTGCTTAATTTATTGGCTTTGTAAAATCTGCAAGGGCTTGGGATGTAAGGGCTTCAGAGCATCCGACTACCCAAGTAGTAGAGTTCCAAGCCCCAAACGATTCAGACTTTTGTACCCTGGACTTGAACTAGACTTTCAAGTAACCAGGGAGAACGAGGTATAGACTATAATTTCATGATGGTTCCCTTGAGGAACGGGTCCCAAAGGAAAGCATTCAAGTATGGTGCTCCAGAACCTAGGTTTCCCAGTAGCCCCTTAATAATAAGGGTACCCTTTTTCCTACTGTTTGGTTTTAATGATGGAAGCTAAATCTACACCCCTAAACCCCTAAACCCTAAACCCCCAAACCCCTAAACCCCAAACCCCCAAGCCCTAAACCCTTGAAGAAAAAGGGCAAAAGGGTACTACTACGAAGCCTAAGCCCCACTACCTGGGCACTTGGACCCTCCAGGTCAGCCCGGGGGCTTGCAACTTCAAGTAGAGGGAATGGTCTTAAGGTTTAGGGTTTAGGGTGTAGGGTTTAGGGTTTAGGGTGTAGGGTTTAGGGTGTAGGGTTTAAGGTTGTAGGGTTTGAGGTTTGGGGTGTAGGGTTTAGGATTTAGGGTGTAGGGTTTAGGGTTTAAGGTTTAGGGTGTAGGGTTTATGGTTTTTAGGGTTTAGGGTGTAGGGTTTAGGGTTTAGGGTGTAGGGTTTAGGGTTTGGGGCGAAAAACCCCAAGGGTCTAAACGGTTCTACAATGGTTGCTTAGAAGTTGTAGTTGTAGGCGCCTAAGTTTTCAATGTATCCTATACTAAGATCGTGAGTTAGAACCGCATGTAATTTATCTTTTTCGGTTCATCTTGGCGCCCACCTGCCTGACAGAGGGCTACTCTGTTGAACACGAGAATCAATAGGTCTGACTGAGGATAGAACCACGAGTGCACGCAAACGTGGGTAGAAAATTTCGCATGGTGTACCCTAACCCTCCAGGTAACTACTATATAGGGTACTTGAGCCCCTAGGGCTCTATATAGTAGGTACCTGGGGGGTTAGGGGTAGGCATGCAAAGCACCAACTGAGAACCGCACCATCGGCTGCACTGGGTAGGCCGGTAAAGCCTCGCCGAACAACTCCCGAACCGTGTGGACATGAACATCAGGGGAATGTAGTATTAGGCCTTAGGGCTTAGGGTTTTAGGGGAAGGTGTGCTAGATTAGATGGCTTCTCGATAGCCAAGTCGAAGGCACTCAAGGCGATGAGTGTTGTGAAATCAAGAGCAAGAAGGGCCATTGCAAAAGTTTACGGCAAGCTGTTGACTCCTTGCAAAAGCCCACTCACTAATGCTCAATGCAAGAGCACTTAAACGTCATCGCAGATAGTATAAGCGCATGTATGGATGTATTGCGTTCCCGTATTGCTTTATGGTCCCTACAAAATCAAATATAACTATATACTCCACCCGGCTCCCCGTTGTCAAAAACGAAAACCCTAAACCCTAAACCCTAAGAAAGCCATGAGCTCGGGGATTGGTGAAGTCACGAAGGGGCGGAGTACTCTAGCCTAAAACAAAGATTTCCTTCTGGTTACAGTATGCTGGCATGGAAATACAAGTGCGTTTAGGGTTTAGGATTTCCCCTTTAGATAGATGGTACTATTAGGATGGGAAGTATATGGCTCCTTTGTTCTGATTTTTTCTGTCGAGCGCAGAAGGGCTCCCAACAGGTTTGTGAGGATGCGACGCACGAATAGGAGGTACATTATTTATAGGACAGTGAGACAAGTTGAGCAGTCATAGAGGACACATTTCACATTACCGTCAAGACCATTATCGCTGCAATGCGTGAATAAAACACTGGAAAAACTGGCACCCCGCTTCCCTTACTGAGTCGAAAGGTTCAAGGTCCCTGCTCCTAAGAAGAATACCTCACTGCCACCTGCAAGTGAAGCCAACAAGTCTGTGCATCTCGGGCCGGAAGATGCTGCAAGACAATTGTCAACAATGCCAGCAGATTTAAAAGCGCCATCAGGGTCCAGTATAGTGGGGGTCCTTCGCGGCTCAGGGCTCGATATGAACGACGACAGCATTACATGCGAACAAGAGGCGTTCATCCCACGGTGAACGCACAGCGCTCACTGGCTCAATCCTCGCAGCGGGATGCAACCTCCAAAACCCCGGTACGAGCTACTAGGTTACTACGTTCCCAGTATCTCCTCAGCAAATGGGGGGGGGGGGGTAAATTTCCAACTGAAGAAAAGGCAACCACCCAAAAACAGCCATAAGGGGTTCTGCCGGCGAAGCCAGTTTAGGTCTTTAAGCCCAGTACCCTGGCCCAAAAAAATTGAACCTTTCTTTTAGTAGGGGGCTTAATATACCAAAAAGTTTAAAGTTTACCCACTGGGCTCCTAAGTCTTAGGTCGAGGGTCTAGTCTCGACTGTATAGCATCATGCTGCTCGACGCTTTGGGCATGCGAGCCTCCGATTGAATTCCGCAGCTGCCCAAGTTCCCTAAACCCTAAACCCTAAACCCTACAAGCCCGAGCACGAACCCAGACCCTTCGAGACACTTCTAACCCTCCTAGAGCCCAATCTGCAAACCCGAAGCCCTAAACCCTAGACCTTAAACCCTGAACCGCAATCTGAAAAGCCGAAGCCCTAAACCCTATACCCTAAGCCCCAATCTGAAAAACCCGAAGTCGTCGAAGCAGACCTGGCCAAAACACGAAAACCTGAAGCTGCAAGTTGACATGCCCTAAGCACCAAGCTTCACACAAAGGGTACCGTGTACCTAGATGGGCAGTTCTCTGAATTAGGGTGCCTTTAGGTTCCAAAAGAATACGGCACCCTTATAAAAAGGACCCTAAAAGGGACCTTAATTTAGAGAACTACCTATATATATATGACGGTTTAGGGTTTAGGGCCTAGAAAGTTTAGGGTTTAGGGTTTAGGGGTTCAGGGGTTTAGCTTAGGGTACAGGGTTTAGGGGTTACGGGGCTAGGGTCTGGGGCCACGGACGGAAGTATCCCACATGACACTACAGCCAAGCTTGACAACTCTGAGTCTCGGAAACCCTGCACCCTACCCTAAACCCCTAAACCCTAAACCCTAAACCCTAAACCCTAAACCCGAAACCCTGAACCCTAAACCCTAAACCCCCTACTGTAGTAACCCCTGGGGTTCCTGGAAATTCCTCTAAAGAGACCTGTAAGGGTACTATTAGGGTTTAGGGTTTAGGGGTTTAGGGTTTATGGGTTTAGGGTTTGGGGGTTTAGGGTTTAGGGTTTAGGGTTCAGGGTTTAGGGGTTTAGGGTTTAGGGATCTAGGAACCTGATCCAGACATCCTAGGTCCTAGGTCTTTATTTAGGGCTGTTTTTTGAATGGATCCTATATTTCGGGTTAGAGGGCCAGGCATGCTCAATCAGGTTCCTACACTATACCGTAGACCCTGCCTTACCCCCCAAACCCAGACATCCAAGCAAGGAATGGTTTAGGGTTTAGGGTCTAGGGTTTAGGATTTACGGTTTAGGGTTTGAGGTCTAGGTTTAGGGTTTACGGTTAAGGTTTAGGGTCTAGGTTTAGGGTTTCAATCCAAGCCCGGGGGCGTCAAGTGGCCGCGGCCACGACCAGGGCGGTATCGACTTCTGATGCGCGCCTCTGGATCTGCGTAGAGTTTGCATTTGTTCTTGCGGGGCCATGTCTCTGTGCGGTTGAAGGTTTCGGGTATATGGGGTATATGGGGTTTAGGGTTTAGGACGTATGGCCATGGCTGTCGCTCTCTCTCTCTCTCTCTCTCTCTTTTCTCCCTCATCTGCCCCTGCTACTGAACCTAGACCCTAGCCCTAGCCGTAGCACCAAAAACACAAACCCTAAGCACCCCAAACCATAAACCTCAAAACCTCAAACCCAGAAGCCGCATTTTCTGAAACCGACAAGCTAATCCCTCCCTTTAAAAAACCCGAAGCCTGAAACCTAAAATTGAGATCCAAAACCCTAAATCCTAAGCCTACACCCCCGACCTTTAGATCTTGAGCCCAAACCCGAAACAAACCCCAAACCCTGAACCCGAAGTTTAGGGTTGCGGGTTTAGGGTTTGCCCTCCCTCACCCTAATGTAGAAACCTTAATAGTAAGAATAAGGGGGGTTGCTCCTTAAAACTATACTAGAAAATAAAACACCCCCAAACCATTTTCTCATGATGAAGGCTCCTATATTAATTAGCGACGTCAAGCCCTAAACCCCAAAAAACCCTAAGCCCTAAACCCTAAACTCAAAGCCCTGGACCCTAAACCCTAAACCCTATAGATCCAGAACCCTAAATCCTAAACCCGAAGCCCTAAACCCTAAACCCTAAACCCTACGAACCCTAAGCCCTAAAGCCTAAACCCTACGAGCCCTAAGCCGTAATCTCTTCAACCCTAAACCTTAAGTCCTACCCTAAGGGTCCTAACACTTT